CAAGCGCCCCGCCCGTGCTACCCCCTTTTTATTAGCGGTTTTTGACCCGCACTATAGCTAGGCTCAAAACCCTAAGAAATATAGTGATTTTTGCCTGCGCACTGTATAGCAAAATTTTGCAGTGCTACGTGTTGCCCTAGCGCCTTAGAGCACATAGCAAGAGGGCGCCACAGAGAGCCCCATAGCACCTCATTGCACATATAGCAACTGTTGAACTGATCTATCATACCACCACAGCCTCTCACCCTCTCTCACCACCTCAACTATCTGAAGGAACCACAGAATCACATGTCATATTCAACCTTCAGACAATCTTCTAGTGATGGACCATAAGGTTTGCCTGGGGTTGATTCTAGCATGAACCTTCCATACTCTTGATGTAATGTTGGCAACACTGGGCAGATGTAGTATTTTTCCCAAGTGAAAAATGATTGACCTGAAGGACAAACAAAATTGAAAAAGGTAGAATTCTGAATTCATTTTGTGTGTGCATTAACACTGCATTTTACTGCATTGATGCTGCATTTTTCCACATGAATGGTGCATTAATAGTGCATTTTTATGCATTAACACAGCATTTTTAATCATTTTGACATTAATTTTAATCATTTTGCATGGTGGAAAAATACTACATCTGCACAGTGCAAGGCCTTGTTTGAATGCTGTGATCAAAAAAACAATCAAACCAAGACTTAGAAGACACATCAACGCAAATATTGAATCAGAAAGGTAGAGGTGAACAGACCTAGGTAATTGCAATGTGCTGATCAAACAATTTTTTTGTAATACTTCAAGTTGAGATAATGATAACTTCACATGATTTAATGATTGATGAATTGAAATCAAGAAATATTCAATATCATCACCCCAAAGTAATTGATGACTGATTTGAGAATGAGTTTTATTCCAAAGTTTGATAAGTTGAGCAATCCCTTCACAACAAACATGCTTTGTGTCCTAGTAGTAGATATACATAATTTCAAGGCATATATTGAAGAAAACAAACAAAGAAGTGAGTACAGGGATGATTTCATGATGTAAGACAAAAGGATTACCAAACTACATTGTGGCCAATCAAATGGGGTACCAAGTGCTAATGAACCCATTCTCAAATTGGTTCAATGATGTCAAGATGATCCATCCAATAAAAATGATAAAGGAACAAGTGCAAAGATGATGGATAAGACTAGGGAAAGCTTTACACAAAAGTGATACCTCTATTTTTAAACTGTAGATATCAAGTTAACACCTTGAACAAACAAAGTGAAGTTTAGCATCTAGACACATCAAAAAAGTGATTTATTACAAAACTAGATTGGTAACCTGGTTTGGAATTGTGATCATGTCCGATTTTAAAGTAAACAGGTATGTGAATCAAAGATGTAGGATGAGCAGGGGTGATAAGGAAGTTCTGGATTTGACACAAAATACACAAAATAGAATCATTAAGTGAAGTTCAATTTGGTCTATTGTGATCAACGTTCAACAGAAATCAACCCCAATCCTGGTGAGAATCAATCTGTGAAGAACAATTCATCTCAATCAAAATGTAAAGATAAACGGGATTGATCTCAAAATGTTTCTCAAAAATTAAATAAAAAATTGTTTTCTTTATTGTTTTATACAATTTCTTTGCTATATTTGTTTTGGTCTTTTGCTTTTTTACTCATTCACCCCCACTCTGCTATTAATAATGCAATACATGTGTGTTCTAAAACAGCCAAAATGAAGAAAAGAACCAGATGTGTTGCTTTTTTTTACTATATTTCCTCCAATATGTCTATAGCAGAGCAGAGCAGTTTTTTAACATGCACTACTTTCAAATTACATAGCGCCTTGAGGAATACAGCGTAGCAATTGGCAATTTTTCATAGCAGCAAATTGCCACGCTATGAAAAATTGCCAATATGGCGGAGCGGAGCAGTGCGGCGGTGGTGTTGCTGTCACTCATTCTTCACTTTGAGAATAGAATTCAGTGTACCTTTTCAGGCTTTGGAACACTACCAATCAACTGGTTTGAGTGGGATATGTTGTGACATTAGAAGAATGACAGCTGATGCTACAGTATTTCAATACTGAGAAAACCATTGCAAAATAGCTATGAACCACAAAATGACTATCAGTTTGCATCATTGATTGGCAATTTGTAATTTTTGCACACCAGGACAAAGGATGAAGATAAAACCTTAAATCTATGATCAGACTGAAGGAGAAGGTTAGGAACTGTTAGTGTTAATTTTAAGGCTTAGGGGTTAGGGTTAGTGCAGGATATACTATGATTTAAACAATGTTCATCATGCAGTAATTCAGGGTGTGTCAAAGTTCAGGTGCGCCTGGGAGCCCACCATATCCTCAAAATATCTACAGAAACATCCCACAGTCATTCTTCAGGTTGTGAAAAACAATGTCAGTGCGGTGCCTGCCGCCCAATTGTGCTAGTTCAACTCTTAATCCTAGTTGAGTATATTCAATATCAAATCATCCAAAAACAAAAAATAAGCTAGTCACCACACTTTATTGAGAATCACTATAGGCTGTTTGCTTGCATGAACCTACCCCTCAATCCACCAGAAGACCAAGTCCAAGAAGGACAATATCCAAGAATCAAAAATCTTTAGTGTACATTGATTTTCAAAAAAAACTCCAATTAGATTGCCTGCCTTCAGCCTGAGTGTTGGAATACATCCAAATCATGTGCAAGTCAAACCACATCTTGGCCATCGTTCTGAACCACATCTTGTCCACAATTCTGAACCACAATGCGAGTTTTGGTATCAAATCAGCCTGGTCCCCGCTTCTGAAAACTTGCCACAGATTAATAAATCAGCTGTGCAATCTAGACCACATATTGGCAGCTAATATGAACCCAAAATTGGCCACCTTTCTGAACCACATTTTGGCCACCATACTGCACAACAACTTGGACATACTTACATAAGATGAGTTTCATGATGCAGGTTTGGTGATGAAATCACACTGATTACCATTTCTGAAAACTTGCCACATATTGATGTATCAAATACAAAAAGTCTGAAGCACAACTTGGCCACTAGAAATCTCAGTCAGAAGATGTATATGAGCTCCCTCTTTTCATCATCATCTTAACAACCATCAATTCAGTACTACACTTCCAAGTAAATTTCAAAAATCAAATTATAAGCTTACAATCAGTAATGAATTCATTGGATCCAATGGGCAAGCTGTCCTTTCTGTTGTTATATCAGTACACTCAGGACACTTATATTTGGTCTCTGTTAATGTTTTCATACAGGTTGGGCCTGAAGCATCATAACAAGTGCCACATTTAATTTTGAAGCCACAAGCAACATCTTCAGAGGATTGCTTGTCCATGGCAACATTACAGTGAACACATCTTCATCAAATCATCATCTCAATCTCAATTCACCATCCTTTAATCATTTACTTAATAATTCATCATCATCAACTCAAGCTAATCATCATCAACTCAATCGTCATCGTAGAGCTCGTTCTTCTTCTCCTCATCATTCTTCTTCAAATCGCGA